ACTGATTTTGAATCCATTACCATATACCGTATCGTATGGGTTGCATTCCACTAAAGCTGAAATTCCTTGCATGGTTAGAAGCGCATTCTTGAGATGTATATTCTGCTGGAACTTGAGGAGGTTTCCTTTCTCCATAATGGCTTCATCCTTCATATTCCAAAGGGCTTCTGAAAAGCCATTGGTTTTGATTCCCATTTTTTCACAGGCTATAGGGTTTGTACTCATCATTATTTTATTCGCATTATTTTCGTCTTGGAATTCCATAGCTTGGGAATATGCTATGTATTGCGAAACAGACTTGAACTCTTTTCCCTTTTCTGTGAAAGAGCATGGATATGTTCGCCCAAGTGGTGATGTTGTACTATTATACAGTAACATATCGTCTACCTTACGAATTGACGTTTGGCTCGGATTTATTCTTTGTGGCAGCCTGTGTAGATCTTTAATTTTGTATTTTGTCCCATTGATAATCAAGGCATCTGCAATCAATGTTGCTTTCATATTTTCTTCTTTGGCAGCCTTTAGTATGGGCAATAGTACTTTACGATCACGCTCAACATTGGCTGGGAAACTTTCCTCCAGGAAGTATCCTTGAAAGTCCTTTAGTTTAGATCTATTCCTCCAGACTCTATCCTTGTCTTTAAACCATAGGAACTTAGCAGTGATAGTTCTGTTGAACCTGAAATTCTTTTTCGGCCCTAATGGGATCCTATGCACTCTTTCGAATTTCATGTCATCAGGGTTTAATCCCAGCTTATTTCTGATAAAATCTCTCACTAATTCCTCACAATTTTCTTGCTCTTCTACTTCCTGGATACCTTTGAAATGTAGGCTGCTTCTGCGAGAATATACGTCCATGTCGTTTTGCTTTTCTTCTAGTCTTGCTATTGTAGTTTTTAACTGTATCACAGACACATTGAGTTGCTCATTTGTTCTCTGTAATCCATCATTCAGCTTGGATACCTTATCGTTTAGACTTTGTATATCAGTTCTGTGCTCATCCAGCACATCACCTACATGTGATAGGCCTCGCTTTAGCTCAGATAATTCTTCTTTTACTACATCTCTAACTACTGATGTAAGGTCACTCATTATTTTGTCTTTTTGCTTCTCTAAATAAGCATCCAGAATCTCGTTAATATCATCCTTACAAATTGTGCTTTTCTTTGGTGGCATTGTTAGTGGTATTTTACAAGCTTGATGTTCGGTATCACTGTACTTGTGAATTGTATAGGGGATGTTGCCTCCTATATGTTGAAGTTATTTGACGTGAACAATATCCACCAAATTCGTATCAATGTTATGATAGTCTGATGCTTAATCGCTAGTTAATATTATCCGTGTGTGATTTTTAGTGTCAATCTCTTAATACACTCAGCATATAAAGGCTCAAATTCATATCGTAGTTTTAGTCACATATTATCGCCCACTAAGGGAAAAAATTACACGTGGATCACAAACATTTGGCTGCCACTCGAGATACCATCAGGGACTCTCCAGATTTCATAGGAACGAATGTTTATATGAGTTTATCATGTATTTGAAAATATAAACATATTATAAAGTTTGTCAGTCTACCCCTAAAGGTGTTCAACAGCTGATTGGTACTAGCGATCCCGATGCAACAAAACGCAAGACACTGTTGTGCGCGTTGTGTGAATTTAACACCACACACAAAAATAGTCTTACAAGGCATATGTCCAGAAAGCACACCTCTGTTTATTATGTTTTTGAATGCGATCAGTGTGGCAAGATTTATAAAAGCAAGGACACCTTGAACGATCACGTTCGAGGTTACCATAATGGAGAGTTTAGGTGCTCTCAATACATACACTCGTATTCTACACCGGTAACATTCCGATCACATCAATCAGTGGGCCGTGTTACACTCGTTTCCATGACATTTCACAAGCGTATCCTCTGGGAAAAGATAAATCCTTCTCTTGCTCACTCTACGGGGGATCATATAAACTGAGATTTGGAGATCTTGTTCAGGTTAGCCATAAAAAGGTTTGGGATTTGTTTTTTTCTACTGTGATATTAATGATTTGGCTCTAAGGCGAGAAATCTGTACTTTCTGATTGATATTCCATTATGAACAGTTACATTGCTAAAATAGCTCATGTTTAACATTTTTTTGTTACATTACTATTAAATACAGCATAAACTATATTCAACAAACACAATTTCAAAAAGGATAATATAGAAGTTAACCTTTATTTTCCATTTTTAAGCAGCTGTGCCTCTCATGACTTTCCAAAACAGGTCATATTCGTAGCCTAAGAACCGGTCATACTCAATATACGCGGATACTCTAGTATCCCGTGCATGGGAGACTATGGCGTGAACCTCTTTTCCCTACTCATACTACTATATCTTTGTTTCCAGGACATAGGCAGAGGAAGCAGCCCCCCACACTCCAATTAAAATGCAGATGCTTTTTTTCTATTTTTTTCATATTATATAATTGTGTATAAACCATGTTTTACAAATCTTAATTACTACATTGAGGGACACCTATTCACCTTTCCATAAAGTCAGCTCATGAATATTATAATGAGCCGCTTAAAAATCTGTGACGTCAATGGGAGAAACTTTTTCCCGCGAAAAACAAATGCAATTGAGTTTACATGTAAATCCTCGGTTGATTGCTGTAAGTTTTACCTCTTCAAATGTGCAAATTATCAGTAAATTATTGACGGATTTTTTATTGAACGTCAGATTGACATTTATTTACGCCTTCTAAGCGATTTAAATATTAAATTTCTGTTCATAATGAGTAAATAAATTGAAGAGAACTACTCCCGGTCATTTTTCAATCATAATGGGAACTGCATGTGAACAGGTGAAATTATCATAATCATTGGTTCACCAACATTATAACATGTCTCTCATGCATAAAAATATATAGATAGACAATCTATTTTAAGTTAATCTTCAGTGTCATTTGATGAATGACCAGTTCAAATTAAAAACATTTGCTCTTATTCATTTAATCATTGACTTCACTACTCCCATAATTCAATTAACTAATCACGATTACTTCCTATCTATTTCTGCAAGTCATATATTATAAGTTATTGAATGATTTGAAGTGCAATACAGAATATATTCTGCTCGAGAAATTCCGTATTTGGAACGAGACGAAGTCGAGTGCCAATACAGAATATCGAGACAGAATATATCCTGTATTGCACTTCAAATCATTCAATAACGTTTTTATTGTGTGATCCTCTGTATTGCTATTGAATTTGGCCCCTCCGTACCAATATTTTCTGTATTGCGACGGAGATGATAAATGGGGACAATCTCAGTAGCAATACAGATTGGTACAGCACAAGAACTGACCAATCAGAGGGCTTCATTTTACAGATCATACGATAAAAGATCGTATCTTGAAAATATTATAGTGAAAACATCGGAATATAGAATTGATATATTCCAATGTATATTTCCCGCTGCGTATCTCCCGATCCAAATATTCCCGGGAAAATGTTTTTTATTCAGTGTAGAAACAGTCAATTTGTTAGAATATCTTGCTAAAGCAAAACTGTCAAAATAGATCCAGCAGACCGTAGAATTTTTCTTAGCCAAAATGATGATGGATTTCTCGAAAATAATGAGAACGCTTAGAAAACAAACCTGAATATGCAGGGTGTCCTGAAAACTTCACTTGTGAAACCTAACTTGTCATAGGATAAATTAGTTATGTGATGATCGGTTTTGAATAATGATCACCGGAAAGATTTCAAAGAAAGAGCGTATATCTATAATATTCATTGATGATATGTTGACATTGCTGATCGTTATTGACATCGCTGATGGCGAATTAATACCAAAAGGTAACGATATCGTATATGTACTATGAACAGATTTCATTTGGTAAATAATAAAGTAATGGTTTAAGTCTAGCTTCTTGGATAGAAAATTTGGCTTCGAAGTTATCTTTTTAATAGCCAATGGGCGTTCTCCAAGTTTGGAGGATGAAATGAAGGTTTTTTAATGAAGCCCAGTTGCGTTTAGCGATAAACCCGTTCTACGTTTTACTTAAATTGCAACTGGAAAAAGTTCCAATGAAAAGAAAGTTAGTTTAGTCATATCATAGGCTTTCATGATCTTGAAAGCCCATGGTTTTAGTTACCGTAACATATTCATGCATGCTTTTGAAAATATTTTGTTAATGTGTATTTATCGAGATTGGATCGATCCTCAATAACAAAGTCAAACAGATCGTGTTTCAATTCGATTGGTTTCGTTTGCGCGAATGTCACTCATGGTGAATTTCTGATGGAACTTTTTACTACGACATATAACCATTTAACAGAATATTGTATGACCACTATCAGATAATTAAACCGAGTTGTTTGTAACTTCACAATTTACATTTTTTGTTTACAATCGCACTAGGTATGTGAGCCCGGGTATGTGAAGCTGATCTCAGAAGTCTTAATAAACAATAGTTATGTCAAAAAATGATTAATTTAAATTACATAGGGTTCGGAATCAAAGTGCCCCGTCCATATTTCATATTTGATTAAAAATAATTGGTTCATTTGGCAAATAGAATCCTTTTTATTGTAGTTTATTCAAAATATTCCAATGCTGGCTTTACTAATTCTTCAAAACTTTCTACCATTGACGTCATTGATTTGACTCATTTGCATACAACCAATCAGCGCGCAGGAAATTATCGATTTTCTTTACTTTGTGGAAAGGTGAATAATGCCACTGGCGATTGGATCCCTCATGTATGATATGTACTTTTAATGATTAATAAAATTCTCTGTTCCGTTTCAATATTCAGTCCATACTACCAATTGCAAAATGGTCAACTATGCTATTACTAGCTATAACTTTATCTATTAAAACACTAATAGCCAAAGCCTCACGTTCCCGCACATGAGTTTGTATATGAATCATGGTGTATTAGCCACTCTGAAGAACCATTGATCATTTGTACGTAGGCCATGATCAATTTACACAAGCACATCATTGATTTAAATGTTGGCCTCTTCAGAGATAAATAGGATGACGTCAAAGATTAAAAATCTGCTCTGCTATCATAAAAATCAGTATTGAAACAGTTAACTGTGTTCATCAACGCATATCTGCTATCCTGTACGCCTCCGACCCCTCCTTCGCCTTAATCCTTCCTCCTCCTCTGGGGGTTCAAGTGGTGGAAGCTCGTGGAAGAGAATATAACCAGCTGGGATGACACCCCATTTAGCGTAAAAGTTCTCCAAACCCAAATCAGATTTTCTAGCTAAAATATCCAAGTCTCGTTTATGCTCCGCGAGATTGGGTCCTTTGTGTTTATAACCAGGACGGCAGTCTATCCCCTTGATTATCATTAGAAGGAATGTCACAATATAGAAAATATATAATTGCATCGTTTTCCACATATTCATTTCTGCAACAGTTTCGAGCGTTTTCTGTTCAGGAACTTCCGTTTGCCAAACGAATCTCAATTGAAGTTTTGATGATACGGATAGGTACAAGCATGTTTTTATTTAAAGTCAAGCTACATATTTGGTATGAGGTTGATCAAATAGCAGGAATTGCAAACATTCCGGGTTTGCTATTAAATTTACTATCCCAGGAAACACCATAAATGGTCTACGGTTTATGTATCCTAGCCTCGCATTCGTTTGCAGTATCATGACAAGCTTGCAAATATAGCTCATCAAGTGCCGAAAAAACTAGTAAGTCATTTCAGTTGTGATTCACAATTTCTCTAAAATGGAATTTATTACACGGTCTATGATCATAGTTGTTATTATGATTATGCTAGAAATGCAAATATTTATAGAAGCCATTGGAATTTCTAACAATATACACATAGGGCATGTAGGACGTCGCGGGGGTTATGGAAAACCGGAGTTGACTGTAAACGATTTGATTTACTTGTTACACACTCGTTTCAAGGGCCCACCGGAACCCCCAGAGCCCGCTGAAGGAGCAAGAAGAAGACGAAGGCGAAGACGGTTTCGAAACAGAGGATAGTCAGCTGTTATATTATTCCGCCAAAGTTAACACATGTAGGAAATACGAAACATATATTAGTTATCACATTAATTTGAACGTGTCGATGTCACATTATGAGTTCCAAATGCCATTGATGTGCTCTTGAATAAACGTCAAACACTGATTAAAAACTATTAATTTAATTGTTGATCATTGTTGTCACAATTTTATAAATTAATTGTTTAACTTATAACCTTATTTGGACGTTTTATTTATTTGCAACGCACTCGGAGAGTTTACCCTTGAGCAAATGGAGAACACAATGTAAAAAGAAGACAAGTTTGAAAATAAGTCCAGTTTGAATCTGTTACTAGAAACATGTTGATTAGCAAAATCGCGATTGGATTTATGCTGATGTTAATTCATTGTAAAGTACAAGAGGTCAGTAGCGTGTTTGGACACTTTGGCTTCGGTGGCCACCATGGACACGGGCATAGTCTTGGATTTCGACCCGGCTTTGGATTCGGCAACACACACCCACTCTTGGGAGGTCATGGAGGCGGAGGTTACGGTAAAGGAGGTGGTGGAGTTCCGATACCATTAGTACTGTATCTATTACAACAGGCAATGAAACCCCCACCGGAGGAAGAAGGGGCGAGAGGGGCCAGAGCCCGAAGACGACGGGCAAGGCGAAGGCAACGAAATATCGCCCGGCGACGTGGTTAAAGTCAAAACGCCATACATGTACTGTCTTTCCTTGGGCTATTTGTTATAACATTTAACGACTTAATTTAATATAAAACATGTCAAAGAGCTCAAGACATAAAAGGACACCCATTAAAATATAGTTATTTAATATTCGGTATAAGTATATTGTCTCATTTCTGCAATGCGAATATCTTCAAACTACAACCATGCGCTTCAATGCAAGTCGAGCTGTATGTGTCCTGCTTGTGACACTGTCTTTATTCAAGAGCTCAAATGGGCACCTAAATATCGGTGGTGTATTTGCTGGCTTTAATGGTGTACCGTACAATGAAGTATACGGCCTGGACGTTCACAAAGATGGTGCACGGGGGGAAAATAAAAATCCAACACAAGGAAATACCAACCCATTGTTTCTATATCTACTCATACGACGATCACAGGGCGTTGAAGAGCCACCACCAGAATAACGTAGCAAAATATGATACCTATTATAATCATGCATATTATAGACATTGGACTCATTTTCAGCAATGCAAATATCTTCAGACTATACAACCATGCGTCTCAATGCAAGTCGAGCTGTAGTCGTACAGCGAATGACACTGGCTATATTCGAAAACCTAAATGGATGTCTCAATTCTGCGGAGGTGTGTTTGCTGTTTTTATGGTGTACCTTACAATGTAGTACACGGCTTTGATCTTCAGACAGTTGGTGTACGCACGAAATAAAAATGGAAAGAAAATAGGAACCCATTGAGTTATCCCCATTTTAACGACAACAAAGAGAATTGTGCACGATAACGACACTCTTACAAACGCTGATGCAATAACGCTAGGCCCGGGAACGCAGTAGTAAAATGTATTTAAATAGTATTTCTTACTCTGTTATGTCAATCATTCGTCGATCGATCTTTTTAAATGCCATCTTTATGTGTAAGTTGGCAAGTGTATATCTAGTTGAAATAATAAAAAATAATAAACTCAGTACACTTGAACACTTAAACAAAGAATAGATTGTGTTATTATTTACTACATATATATTCTAGATGCTAATTGGCCCATTCATGGTCACATGATATGAAATAGACTAATTCCTTGGAAAATCCCTGCTAACAGGGAAGATAAAAGTACTAATCACCAATTAGGTCATGTGACCAGTCATAACATAAGGGTTATGTACTGGGAGGTTTCGGATATAGGGTATATCCCGAGGGATATATAGAGATTATCCTATATGAGGTTCAGGATATTGGGATTATCCCGAGGCCAATATAATATATTTGCCCGAGGGCCGCAGGTCCCGAGGGAAAATATGTTATATTGGCCAAGGGATAATCCTAATATCCTGAACCGACTATAGGATAATATGTTTATCCCATACCAATCTTGTTAATCTTGTTCACATTGTTCAATCGTGGGAATATTTTAAAATAGACATGTCCAGTTTTGTTTTCTTGGCCGTGGGCGGATTTTCCTGTTCTCTCAAATATTCCCACATTTATTTTCTCGAATCTTTGATTGATTAAGTGGATGTTCCTTCCCTTTTTAAACCATCAAACAGATACCGATTGTCTGTGTTTTCTCCATTATCGTTTACAGTCATTACGCGAACGTTACAAATTATGAACAAATATGCGAGCGGCGATTATGACGTAGCGGGCAGATATACTATATCTGCCCGCTCGGAGCGGGACGTAAAGCTATATCTGCCCGCTGATGAAAATATAAGTTTTTACAAACCTGCTTTATGTACCTGTAACACGTCCAAGTATGGGATAAATTTATATCTCCCCGAGGGACCAAAGGATATACCCAATATCCAAAACCGACCTTACATAACTGGTGTATCTCATACTTGAGTGAGTTTTGGGTTCCACCCTTTTCAAAGGACAAGATAGGCCTATACTGTAAAAGCACAATTTATATTTCGTAATGAAATTGTATCATTTAAACTTTTCAACTTTTTTAGAATTTAAGACTAAGCCTGGAGCGGGACGATATATCCTGCCCGCCCCTCAGATATGACATATATTCCCCGACGATATTTACCCCAAACCCAATCAAGTATGAGATACATAGAGATTATCCTATATGAGGTTCAGGATATTGGGATTATCCCGAGGCCAATATAATATATCTGCCCGAGGGCCGTAGGTCCCGAGGGTAGATGTATTATATTGGCCAAGGGATAATCCAAATATCCTGAACCGACTATAGGATGATCTGTTTATCCCATACCAATCACATTATCCAATTGGCCACAGTTCAGAAACTTTGCAACCAACCGTGGAGTTATTTAAAAATATTCATGTCCAGTTTTGTATTATTGTCCGTAGCCGGATTTTCCTGTTCAAATCTTTGATTATTAATGGGGCATACTGCTCCTTCCCTTCTTAAAAGCATCAAACAGATCGCGATTGTCTGCGTTTTTCTCCATTGTCGTTTACAGTATGAGAACGTTACAAAAAAAGAATCAATACGGGAACAGCGATTATGACGTAGCGGGCAGATATACTATATCTGCCCGCGGAGCGGGACGTAAAGCTATATCTGCCCGCTGATGAAAATATAAGTTTTTACAAACCGGCTTTATGTACCTGTAACACGTCCAAGTATGGGATAATACGTTTTATCCTCTCTGCCCTGGGATTATAGGGGTTGAATGGTAACATACCTTCACACGCCAATAAGAATCTGTAAGCATTAAATGTTGAAATTGAAAGAAATGTCCCATTACGCCGTAAATATGACATAAACATTTATGATTAAAAACTTAACTATTAATAAGTAAACGTATTCCAGGGCCTCAGCGAACATCTCTCAGTTTCCTGTGTTAATTAATATTCATAACGAAGAAATACTTGCATGACACATATAAGTGTAAAATTTATTATCTATTGTCGATTATGAACGTCTTAATTAATTTAAGGAAGACGAATTAAAACAAGAACACACTTGCTTGACATCTATATAAAGGTAAACATAGTCCAAATCTGTTATCGATTATGAACGTCTGTAGGGTGGAGGATTAAAACGAAGGACACACTTGACTGTGACTGACACCTATAAATAAAGGCAAAGTTCGAACTGATCTCCCGAGTGTGAACGTGTGTATATTTTATGATGACTTGTGTTACGCGGTAAACACGATACAAAAATATGCCATATTCCGAAACGAATATGGCATATTAACTTGCAGTGTATGACAGATTCACCTGCGGTAATATACTAGTATGGCATACACACTAACCAATGAGAACGTGATACGGAAGTACGCAATTGTCAATTGCTTCGATTGAACGAACGAGTGAAAGGTGTTGTATCGATATGGAGAACTGAATTCAACATTATTTTTCTATTAAACCAATCATTGAAAACATTCTGTAAAAACACGGTATGTTATGTAATGTTGACTGAGTGACAACAATTTAATGCGAAAATTATTTAGAAATATTTTATAAACCTGTTTTTGTATACCTTGTACAGGGCGTATCAAAAAACGCAACAAGTAGTTATCTCGTAAAATCACAAAACTAATGATGACTACACCAATTTCATTCAATGTACCATAACGCCACGTCTCTCCTCTTTGCAATGATATGTCATTTATTCACATGTGGTAATGGTTGGGTGAGAAATCCTTCCATTTGCACAGTGGGTCAAAATCGGCTCTGCTCCAAGTTTTAGATATTGCAAAAATCAGTACAAGGGCTAAGCGCCAATGGGAGTTCCCTTGACTTGAATTGTTGAGTCTTTTTCTTTGGGGAGCTATCTCAG